GCCGCCATGGTGGACTACTACGAGGTGCTGGGCGTGCCGCGGCAGGCCTCAGCTGAGACCATCCGCAAGGCGTACCGCAAGCTGGCGCTCAAATGGCACCCGGACAAGAACCCCGAGCACAAGGAGGAGGCAGAGAGGCGGTTCAAGCAGGTGGCGCAGGCCTACGAAGTCCTATCGGACGCCCGCAAGCGCGAAGTCTACGACCGCTGCGGCGAGGTGGGCGAGGTGGGCGGCGGCGGCGCGGCCGGCAGCCCGTTCCAGGACGCCTTCCAGTATGTCTTCTCCTTCCGAGACCCCGCTGAGGTCTTCAGGGAGTTCTTCGGGGGCCGCGACCCCTTCTCGTTCGATTTCTTCGGAGACCCGTTTGACAGCTTCTTTGGGGATCGGAGGAGCTGCCGAGGTAGCAGAAGCCGAGGGGCCGTACCCTTCTCGACCTCCTTCACCGACTTCCCAACTTTTGGGGGTGGCTTTGCTTCGTTAGATACCGGATTCACATCCTTCGGTTCTCCGGGAAACTCAGGCCTTTCTTCTTTCTCCATGTCCTGTGGCGGTGGGGCGGCAGGCAACTTCAAGTCGGTGTCAACCTCCACCGAAATAGTTAATGGCAAAAAAATCACCACCAAGAGAATCGTTGAGAATGGTCAAGAAAGGGTGGAAGTGGAAGAAGATGGAGAGTTAAAGTCCCTGATAATTAATGGCAAAGAGCAGTTGCTTCGCATCAATACTCAGTAAAGATGTAAAGTGCGTTTAAAGGACTATCAGGACTTTTTTTGTTTAAAAGCGTTTTCAAGGGAACTCTACTTTCAGAACATCTGTATTCAAGACATTCTATACAGTTCATGCAGGTGCCTCGTATTGTTGGGACTGCAGGGATAGGACCTCTCTTGGTCTTTATGCCTGTTGTAAATATATGTATGCGTTTGGCACTCATTAAACGTAATCCTGAGGCAGACCACCGTTATGTCTTAGTGGTAGGAAACACTGTTCACAGCACCTAAAACCGCACAATGTCCATTTTGTTGATATTTCGACCTAGAGAGCTTTCTATGAAGCGGAGCCATACAGCTCCACTTCCCCTCACTTACACTGTGATGAAAGATACTGCGTATGTTGATGATTTAGTTTAAAATACATCGAAAAAGTGGCTTTTAGTTTACCTAAAATGATGCTTATATTGGAACAATTGACTACTGTTTCAGTGAAAGGCTAAAACCAAGCCTTTGAAAGCAGTTAAGTTGAAGAAAGTACACTAAGTAGATTCTGGTCGCTGCTGCAATGCATTACCATGAATTTGGTCATGTCTATCACAGTTATTCTTTCCAAGTTTTGTAGGCTAGAAACCTGAAATCCATTTCAGTGGGCAAAAAAAAAAAAAAAAAAAGGAGGGTTGCCAGGACCGTGCTTTCTGAGGGTTCAGTGCTGCATTCTATCAGTCAAGGTAAGTGCTCAGCCCTAAATTTGTTCTACAACAGTGGAAGATACTGGAAGTGAAAAGACGTGTGTTTTGAAGGGTAACCAAGCTTTTCAATTTCCATATGTAACATATATGTAAATATGTATGTTACAGTAGAGTCCATTCTGTTAGCACAAGTGGGTGCTTCCTAGTCAGACCTGGCAGAAGATGGTTGCCTTCAGAGAGGCCACCACAGAATGTTCTGCCTCACACCAGTGTCCTCTGTGAGGACTGCAAAAGACATGGGAGCAAAAGGGATCTGACTCGGTTTAAATTGCCACACTTTGTAACTCTCTACCAAAAGGGCATGGGACCCAAGCACATTATTATAAACCAAGACTCTATAAATAGGCTGGATACCCAAACGACCTTGAAAGTATAACCTCATGCAGTGACTTGTACAGTTCACAGCAGAAACATGAGATTCAGCACTGTCCCCCAGGGCACACAGCCTTTAGAAATCACACAATGGAATAGTCACTGCAGAACTGGGGTAGCTGTTTTCTTTCCAAGTCAGGCCAACTACCAGACTTAAAACAAATGTTTTCTTCAGCCTAGGGAGCTAATGGAGGGCTGGGGAGATGGCCCAGGGGTTTTGGTGCTTACTAGGCAAGCATCCCCAGAAACCCACATAAAGGTCTGATGTATGTGGTAGTCCTCAGAAGGCAGAAACATGGGATCCCCAAAGCCATACTAGCAAGCTCTGAATTTTTTTTTTCTTGAGAGACCCTGGATAAGGTGGATAAGTAATGGAGGATGATTCCTGCCATCTGCCTTGGACTTATGCGTGCACACACCACACACACGCACACCACATAAAAAAAAGTCACTGGTGTGGGTTTGTATCTGAAGGTAGGAGGTATCAACTGGATTGAGGAAATGAACATATCTGTGATGGTTACATGTGGAAATCACCACCCTGGGTAGGACAGAATGAGTGGGTCTGAAACCACACAGTGGAAGAAAGAGCTTGAGCAGAGAGCCCATGGTAGGCAAAGAGCCTGGCATAGCAAGGCCACTCCGGCTAGTTTTAACAGTTGAGAGCAAACACAGGAATCAATATTCATATATCCTGGATTAATGGTCCAGGATAAATGGAAAGTTCCTGGTTGGACTAGAACTCAGTATGTAGGCCAGACTGGCCTTGAATGCACAGCAATCTACTCCTCAAGTGTGGGAATTCACAGCATGTGCCACCAGACCCAACTATAAGATACATTTTTTTAATAAATTGTCAAGCTTGAGAATCTCTTCAAAATTTGCTCAGTCTCAAAACACTTATGCAGACATGCCTGTGGAAGGTCATCTAAGGGAAGGTTTGTCATAGTGGGCATAAGGCATTTCCTGTGCAAAGAGGAGCCTCTTGAATATACCAGAGGATCTATAAGAGCACGTTCCTGCACACGCCTGACTACTTGACTTTGATCCTTGGGACCTATGGTGGAAGGAGAGAACCGGCAACCGGAAGTTGAAGTTGTTCTTGACTGCCACATAAGCACTTTGGAGCACATGCACCCCCGGTCACACACACACACACACACACACACACACACACACACACACACACGTACATCTTCCCTAATTCTTTAAAGCATTCAGATCCACTACAGGGGATCCCCTCATGGAACCACTGGGAGAATTTTCTAGAATGCACCGGACAAGGAAGAGGAAGACAATGTAAAATCCAGAATACTAGGAGGCCCTCTTCCATCTAAAACAGGATCAAGAATTCCAAATGCCAGTCCCAGTGGCTGGAGGTTCACAGACAGCTATTTTAGGTTTAGCTTCGTCAACATGGAGGAAAGCATTTGGAAGAAAATACACTGTCTTCAAGTGATCATCGTCCCTTTGATTTTATGTTGCAGCCTCCAAGCTAGAAAGGTACCTTCTCCATTTTAGGAAGTCATTTACCTGTATCAACTTGTTTCCAGAATTTCTAGTTCCACATTTTCATCAGTTCTTTCTCCTCTCTTCCTTACCCTCATCTTCCTCATGGCTTTTTCCTAACCTGTCTCCTCACCCCTTTATTCCTCATCTTCCCCTCTTCCCCTCTTGGGCTCTCACTGTGTAAACCAGTTCAGACTCTCATTATGTAGCCAAGGATGGACTCATAATCCAGCCTCAGCTTATAAAGTGCTAGGATTACAAACCTGACATTCTAAACCCAGATCACAGGTTTTTCTCATTAATTTCCTTAGATCTCCATTAAACCATTTAGTATAGTTTTAATTACTCAGACAAGCTGACTGGACTGGGAAGTAGCCAGTAACCTCAGGACTATATGTACAAATTATTTTTCATCTCTACACTATGATAAAAAAGTTTTGTTATAGTAGACTTCTCTAGACTATTTTTCTTTTAGTTTTCTACATACAAAATTTGAAATAGGCAATTTAGTTTTGTCATGGAAGATCTGCAATCATACAGTAGCTGCTCACACATCAACTATTGAGCAATATGTAGCCAGTCCGATTGATCCTATAAACTCATTAACTTGCTTCCAGGTTTGTTGAGTGCTCAAGCGTCCTATGAATACAAACCGACTTCATCCCTGCCACATCAACAACTGCCATTCACTGATTCCTTTATCCTTCAAAAAAAATCTGAAAGCAACACACCCTCTGATGAGTCAGGTTACAGCTTAATTTCTCAGCAACTGTGCAGACTTAGTATACTCAATAGAAAAACCATGTCCAGATACATGGGCAGTCCCAGTAGAGTCTCCTACAGCCCCTCAGTTCCATTGCTTTCACCTTAGCCCTTAGTCCACATAGTGGCCTCTGAAAATCTAGAGTATAGTGCTGTGGACACTTTAATAGGTGAATTTAACTGAAACCTCTTAAGAGAGATAGGTAACTTTGAACACATGAATAAATAAGCACTTGAAAGTAAAAAAAAAAAAAATCCTGGAAAATTCTTGAGATAAAGGCAGAATACAGACCTGATGGAGTGGCTTCCTGTTGGCAGTTTATACCCCCAATGAAAGCCATGTTAGGCATGATAGGCCTAGGGTAGTCAAATACAAAGTCCCCTCGGAACAGCCACATGGATGCATGGCTGAGAACCTCCACCAAGGACACCTCTCTCTGCAGAAGTTCAGAGGCCAGACTTTCATAGGGAGTGAATGAGATATGGCAAATGTACTTCAAGGTCAGAGGGTACAGCATATTCTTGACTCTTTGTAAGAAGCTCATGTGGTCAGAAAATCTTGTGAGTAGCCTTGGAACATATGAAGAAGGGTTTGGACACTGTGTGCTCTCATAGTCTATGTCGCAGGGAATGGAGCGTTGAAAAAACACGGCAGGAATCTGAAGGTACTTGGCCAGCACTGCCCCACAGGGAAATACAGGATCCGTTAAGACCACATCGAAGGAACTGGAGTTCAGTTGCTGGATCAGGGTCTCATTGTGCAGTAGAACAGCACAAGAATTTGCATGGAGTTCTGAAAATTTTCTTATAGTTGCCATAGTTTCAAAAAACATCTTCACAAAATGTTGTGCTTCAAAGGCCTTCTTAGTGTTGGCCAGTATGTTCTTCTGATATTCTTCCTGGGTGTACGGAGAGGGATAGGTCTGGAGGGTGAAGAAGTCCTCTCCTTTGACGTACAGAGTCACCTCGGGAGCCATGACCACAATCTGGTGGCCTCGGGCATGGAGCTCCCTGGTGACATCTTTCATGCTCAGCCAGTGGCTGCCATCCACAGGAAACACCAGCACCTTTGCACCTTCAGCCCAGCGCAGGGCACACAGCAGGAGCAGCAACCCTGAGAGTCCTGTGTCCATCTCCCTAGAGGCCCAGAGCCGTAGACTGTCCACACCCTGTGCCTCCCTCGTAAGTTTATTCCTCTTCTTATCACCAGGCCACCTATCGCTCTGCATACCATTGGGTAGTACAGTGCCCTTTAGTTAATGGTCACAAAATAAATCTCACCCTTCCTTTCACTAATGTACCCATCTGACTGCCTCACCCAGAGAAAGTTAAACCTTGCTTTTCTTGCCTAATAAAAACTCCCGTGACATGCTTCTCTCTTCCTAGGGCATACTAGTTCACTTCTTGTTTTCCTCCAGTTCCCCAAACAAGGCATTGGACACCCATTTCTTTCACGACCTAGACTTTTATTAAGTTGCCATTAAACTTGGAACAGTGCTCTTATCTCCCAAAACCCCTCTTCTGGATAAGACCCTACTTCAATAGCTCGTTAAGTCTCTCCTCCAATTCACAAGTAGCAGTCAATGTATCACAGCATTCAGAACACTGCAAAGCAAGCTAGACCAAACCAAAGTCAATATCCCTAAATCATGGTTCCTATCCTTTACAGTACCAGGAATATAAGGATCAGGGAGTATGATTTGAAGTATCTTACTGCGGACAAAGATGGGAATGCTGGAAAGATCTCAAAGTCAAGACCAAAAATCTGACTCTGCTGTAAGATCTCTTCAGAGTCTTGTAACCACTCCATGGAATGAAGCTGATCTTTGTAAAACCCCTCTGGACAACACCAGCCTCTTCACTGACATAGTGAACTCTGGAAGCATCCTGCTCCCTCCCGTAAGCTGATCTCCTTGAAAGGGACAAAGAGACTGCTAGGGCTATGGCTTAGTTTCAGGTTCTGTTCTCCTGGATACTGGGGCTGCAGGATCTAAGGGCCCTAGGTAAATATTTGTTTGGGTCTTCACTGCACTCTGAGGTTTGTGATTGGGTTTCCTTTTACAATCTGCACCAGACCAGAATCCTGACGAGGATGGAATTCCCCATAAAGCATGGGCTACAATTTTCTGGGGCACTGTGCTCAAATTCAAGAAAAGGTAGATTTGAGGCTAGATGAGGGCAGGACCCCAGTTGTGGGCACCATATACATAGCCAGGAATCTGTCCCTGCCTCAGAGAATTCCTGCCACTTGGGATGAGCAGTTGCTACCACCTCCTTCCTTTACATGCCCTGGGGCTGGCTCCACTCTCCACTAGGCAAGCTCCTTGGGGTGTGACATTCTGCACCTCTGCATCTGTGTCATGCTGCCAGGATGGCCAGGCTGAGGCTTCCCTCTGGAGAGAAGCCACCTTCTTAGGATCCGACTGGGAGCAAAACCAGCAGCTGTTTATGTGTGAAATGCCTCATATGTGCCAGGTGGCTCTGTGCATGCAGCCTTTGTATTTCACCCTTTCATGGAGGCTAGGAGTCCAGAAAAATGTTCTGCAGATTCTTTTCCGAAGGCAACTTTTCTGCTTGCTTTTTTCCCTCTGCATGTTTTACCTCACCTCATACCCCACTGTTTCCCTTCTATGGCTATCTATACAGAATTACTCAAGTGTAGGCCATAGCAACTCCTGTCCTTACCATGCCCATTAAAGGAAAAGAAGAGATGGAGCTGGTGGCTGAGCAGTCAGAACCTGAAATCTGTGATTGCTGCTTTAGCTGCTGATGTCAGCGTTAACAGGAATACTCCCATCACTACATCTAGTAGAAGAAGCAGGCAGCCAGGTCCTGAAGGCAGAACCCACTTCTGCCCAAACTCCGTATGCTGCTCTTGTGCAGCTGTGCTGGGGAAAAGCACACAAGGTAACTGGGTTGCTCCCCTCAGAGTGAGGGCCTGAGGTGTGCTCACAGATCCAAAGCATATAAGAGCAGGTTACCATGTCTGAACAGTTTCTACATAGAAGCTAGGCCAAAGGGCATTGCCAGTTCTGCTCATCGAGTGCCAAAAATGTAGACTAGAATCGTGAAGGGTGCGCGGCAAAGATTGGCCTTTGCAATGTCCTTGTTTCCTTTTTTATTTTAAAATGTTGTGAATCTGTGGGTGTTGCTTTCACTGCCAATTATGATTAATCCCTAGGCAAACAGTATTATTCCTTGGAACTAGGAAATGATATTTAGCACAGCACTTCGATCCTTACATTTGCCCTGGGCTGGAAATGTGCAGGTCTAACTAACTGGCCCTGAATAGTTCATCCATCCTGGTGAAACAATAATATATTATCATCCTTAAGTAACACTGAAGTGACTCGGCTGTGTATGGATGCTGTGGATGTCTTAATAGCTGACCGTCACTTGGCTAAAAGTAAACCTTGCCTCTTTGAAAGTAGTGAAGCCTGACAAAGTGGGCGTTCTTAGTTTTGAACACTCTTGTATCAAATCATCCCACACTAGAGGACTTAAATACACTTTTAATCTCTGCATGGTGTGGAAGCCACAAAGCTGTGTTACTGGAATCACACTCCATGCACCCTAAGAGTGCGAGGTTGGTTGGTGGGGTGTAAGGAATGGCCTCAGCTGCACCTTGGTTCTACATTTATGGTAGCTGTCAGAAATAGAAAGAATTATTTCACAAAGGCTATGTAAACCTCTCCATTGTCACAAAGCCGGCGCTTATTGGAGCCTGACAAAAGGCAGCTTTCACCCTAAATGTAGCCTGTGCTGGGAATACTATACACACCTGAACAAGCCCATTATATTGGCACAGTTTATGACTCACATAAAGGGCTTTTATAGCATGGTGGCCTTGCAAAGTCCAGCACAAAATCCTGCTCCCCCACAATTATCTGTATGGTCTACGATTTGAAAACAGCAGGACAGATGACATGGGCCAAAACCTCTGCAGAGAGTTCACAAGCGGCTACAAAACTGGGTTTGGATATAGTTCAACGCCCTTAAAGACTTAAATAAATGCAGTGGGTCACTCACACACACACACACACACACACACACACACACACACACACCCTTTGCATCCCACCCTTTCGAGGAGGGTAGGAATCCAGATAAATGCTCTACAGTTTCTCCTCCAAAGTTAGTTCCCTGCCTTCTTTTCCTCCATCTGCCTTCTGCACTGGCCACATCTCCATATGATTAACCTCATGTCAAATCCCATTGTTTCCCTTCTACGCAGAGTTATCTGAGTCTAGGCAGTTTATTTTTTAAAGTGTGTGTGTCTGTTTACACTCAAAGGGGTAGCATGTGCCACAATGTGCACCTGAAGTTCCAAGAATTACGTTACTTTCAGGGAGTCACTTCTCCCTTTCCGACCATGGACATCCCAGGGAATCAGACTCAGGTCGTCAGACTCTGAGACAGCACCTTTACTTGCTGAGCCATCTCATTGGCCCAGACTGAACATTATCCTCGACTCCACTCATGTTTTAAAATGTTTTTAAGATGCGTACGCTGCTTGGCATCTATGCAAACCAGCGGCCACACAAGCCCTACGTGGGCCTCCTTGGTTCGGGGATCACTCCAGAAGCCCATAGCCGTGGAGCTACCTTGCCAGGCTGTGACATCTACCCTAGTTTACTCATTCCCTTATCTCTCTGCTCCCTAACGTTCAGCATGTCATTGTGTGGCACGGTGCCCTCCTTCCACTAATCATTACAGAAGAAATCCATCGTTGGCAGTGACTAATGGCTTACCCTTCTGCCTCTCCACACGAGAAACTACTCTTATCGCCTCTTTACCAGCCAAACTCCGGTGGCCTGTGGCTGCTGCCTAGTGACTATCAGAGTTCACCTCGTTGGTCTTCCTGTATTGAAAGCAAGGTTCAGCACACTCACTAGATTTAATCACTTCTTTCATTGAGCTCAGAGAAGAACCTGATGGCTGGCGCAGTGGTTTGAATGAGAATGGCCTCCATAGGCTCACAGATTAGGGCTCAGAGAAGAACCTGATGGTTGGTGCAATGGTTTAAATGGCCGCCATAGGCTCATAGATTTGATTGTTCAGATCCTAGTTGGTGGTACTGAGTTGGGAGGGAATAGGAGATGTGACCTTGTTGGAGGAGGTGTGTTACTGCAAGTGGGACTTGAGATTTCAAAAGCCATGCCATGCTCAGGCTGTCTCTCTGTCTCCCTCCCTCCCTTTGTCCTCCTCCAATTCCTACTCCTCTTCCTCCTCTCTAGGAGGAACTGCCTCCAACTTTTGAATAAAATATAAGCTCTCAGCTACTGTCCCAGCTTGCTGCCATGCTCCCTGCCATGATTGCTCATGGTTTCACACTATCAACTGTCAATAAGTCTCCAATGAAGTGCTTTTTAAATAAGTTGCCTTAGTCATGATGTCTCTCTTCACAGCAATAAAAAGTAAAACAGTTGGCATCGATTCTACTCTGCTAGACATGATATACTCAGACACACTTTCAGGATTCTTCTCGCTACAAGTTGCTTCGGTACATCACAGAACATGCTTAAGTCAACTTTGAGAAACAAAGAGATTGCTGGATCTCCAGATTGGTGCATTTCTGGTACTGTAGTGCCATTAATGATGTGGGACAATGCATCACAAATGTCTGGCCTATGCCAAATTTCTCTTCTCCGAGTTGCTGAGAGCTGTAAGCTTCTACGCTTGCTTAGAGGACCTAGGTGGGCACTAATCTGGGCCTCTGCTGCCCCCTGTGGTTTGTGATTAAGCTCCATCCCACAGTTCTTGCCAGATCAAAATTCTTACAAGGCTGGATTCTCCGTAACATCATAGGCGGTCTTGTGCGACACTGCTCAAATAGCAGAATGACAAAGCAAATTTGAGATGTAGTCGAGGGCAGGGCTATAGCTGTAGGGACTGGGCATAGGGCCAGGAATCTGGCCCCACCTCAGGGAGTTGCTCTCACAAGTGCTTGCGGTTGCTGCCACCTCCTTCCTCTACGTGTCCCCGGGTTTCCACTCTCCATCATGTGAGCTCTGCTGGGGTGTCCTGCACTCCACCTCACTGCTCCTGTGTCATTCTGCCCATTCAGCTTGGTTGTCCAAGCTGACATGAGATTTCCCTCTGCAGCAAAGCCATGCCGGTCATACCTAACTGGGAGCAGACTCAGCAGCTGGGCAGATGTGTATATGAAGATGCCTCCCATGTGCCGCCACGCACTGTGCAAGCAGCCTGCATATCCCACCCTTTCAAGGAGGGTAGGAGTCCAAATAAATGCTCTTCAATGTCTCCTCCAAAGTTAGTTCCCTGCCTCCTTTTCCTCCATCTGCTTTTGCACCTGCCATGTCTCTATAAGTTTTCCCCCACATCAAACCCCATTATTCCCCTTCTATGGTAATCTATGCAGAATTATCTGGGTCTAGGGAGTGGCCACTCCTGCCCGTGCAGTGTCTATAAAAGGAAGAGAATGGAGCAGTTAGGGTGAGAAGCCAGAACCTGAAATCTGTGTCTGCTGTTTCAGCTGCTGCTCCCAGCATTAGCAAGAACACTCCCAAAACCACATCTAGGGAAAGAGGTGGCCAGTTCTTGGAGGAGAGACGCTATCTCTGTCCCAGGCTCAGTGCGCAACTCTTGCGGATGTGTGACTGTGGAGGATGCCCATGGAGGAGCACACTGGGGACCATTTAATGGCTCCTCTCACTGGGAGGGTCTGCCCTGTGCTCAGAGCTTCAAAGCACACAAGGATCTAGATACTATGCTTGAAAAAAATACTCTAGGTATTGGGTGTGCTGTTGACTCT